AGGAATGAAGTACATCTGATGAATGATATTAAAATGGATTAACTTATGGTGGCTATACGGAGGAAATTTGCATGTTTTTACAAAATTTTCCCCCACACATTATCAATTATGCATTAAAAGCCATTTTTTCTACTTTCATTTAATAGTGGAGGAAGCATCTCCTAAAAATTCAGATTTCCATAGCCACAAGAGACAAAGCCTCTAGAATCCTGCTTGTGTTTGATCATCCTTCCAATATTAAAACCAACCAATTACAGCTACGTCCACCAAATGAAACTACGCCCAAAGATGTAGCTCTTGGTAGAGCAGTTTTGACAGCCTTCTGTCAGCTATACATGATGTAAGCCCTAACAGTTCAGGCACACCAGGTGGAGCAGAGATTGCAGAGGCCCATTTATTCAGGGCTGAAGTTCCTGTCTCACTTCACTGGCACCCACTGTACCCTTGCAAATCCACTGGGGCAAACAGTTCTGACAAGACATATAAAATGGGAGTCCTAACAACTAACAATCTAACAACTGTAAAAGACCTGATAGACCACCAGAACTGTCACCATCAGATAAACAGTACTTACATCTTATATATTTAAGAGAGAGGAGACAATCAAGCTCCACTCTTACTTCACATCTGAAAAAATCCACAAGTGTCTACCTTTCATCCTTGAAGGATGGACAGACTCAATGCTAGGAGTCTGAAAGGATGTATATCTGTTAAGAAGCTGTTACTGAGAAAAGAAATAAACAAAAAAGCAGAAAGTTTTTTTTGCACTAAAACGCTGAAACTGGGCATTAGAGATGTGGAGTGAGGTTTTATGGATGATCAGATTAAATTTGTAATTGGGATTACATAGATTGTGAGAGGCAGGAATCTTCTAAGACTGAAGTTTGGAGATGTGGAAAAACATTTCTGCAAGATTTCTCTGAAAAACCAAAAGCAAGTCTCCTGAAAAGAATGGAAGCTGTAATAAAGGCAAAAAAGGACACACTGAAAAAAGTGACATTATATTTAGACTTTGGGGTTTTAGTGTAATTTTCTGTTAAATATATGTTTTCTGATTTTTCACTGAATGAAAATCTTAATGGACATTTTGACTGGAAACTAAATACATGACTTTTGCAAAGTACAGTGTCAGACTTAAAAGAACAATAACCAAAAAAGCCTGTTTAATTCTGAGGTTGGAAAATAGCAATGGTAGAATAAATTATGACTGTATTTAGATACATAAAACACACATGAGGCATAAATGGTCTTAATGGGAGAAAATTCAATGAAAATCTATGTATGGTATCCCCCTTTAAGTTCTCAGGAAAATCCAGAAAGGGGCTTTTTGCCTGTTTCTCTGATGCCACACCTGATTAAGCCACTATGATGAAAGTGTCTGAACCTATTTTATGCTACCTAGGCAGCCAGAGTTTATCAAGGGTTGAGTCATAATACTACCCCTCCCCTCCCACCACACACACATGCACGCACACCACTTGATACAATACACACATTCCCCCCATTTCCCAGACATGGTCAATGCATTACACATACCAGCTCTGTCTCAAGCTGAGCTTTGTCTACAGTGACCCACATCTGACTTAAACTCTGCAAACCACATGCTCTTAAATCCGATGTCATCCAACTCTGGCGAAAACACAGAATTCCCCTCATGTTTCTCACTTAACGGAACAGGATTAAGGTATCTGAATGGGCCAAGATGGAGAAAGTTCTAGCAGTGGCACTGAAGTGTCATAGAGAGTTCAAGAATTCGAAACCTCTCAATGTGTGCCGGATATAAACCTCCTGGCATAAACAGACTATTCTAAATCTCAGTTCCTGCTTGTGCACTTCATGCACTATTTCAGCTCAGGCCTGGCAGCTCAGAGTACAGCACTCCCCACATCCCCGATCCAACCCACCCCGCCCCCAATCTGGCCCCCACTGGCAAAACACTGTCCTGTCTCTTACACCTGCAATGTGTGTGTAAGAAAGAGAGACAGAGATAATGAAGGAGAGACAGAGAGACATAGGTAGAGAGACACAGAGGCAGAGTGAGAGAGAAAGAGAGTGAGAGAGATCCTGGGAGGGAGTTGTGGGTCCATCTTGGCTAGGTTCCCGGTTCCAACAGCACTACAGTACACCTCGGTTGTCTCAAGGGTGCTGTCAGCTCCCCATCATTCTCTATCACACCCCTTAATGCAGAGCAGTGAGGAGAAATTGTGCTGTGCTAGACATACAAACAATAGCATCACTGTCCTCGCCTTTCAACTACCTCAACAATAGGAATGGACCAAGAATTATCACAGATTTTTAACAACTAAAATATACTGAGAATGTCAGTAAAAGAAAAGCAAAAAAATTATCATAATAAAGTAAATAAATCAAGACATGTATATGGAAACTATAGAGCAACTGATCTGGGCATGTTGTGTTAGTATCAGGTGAGCACCAGATACTATTTGGTGAGCACCAGCTACTATCAGGTGAGCATCAGTTACTATTTGCTGAGCACCAGCTATTATCAGATGAGCACTAAATACTATAAAGTGAGCATTAGATACTATCAGGTGAGCACCAACTACTACTATCAGGTGAGAACTGGATACAATTTGGTTGGCACTAGCTACTATCAGGTGAGCACCAGATACTATTTGGTGAGCACTAGCTACTATCAAGTGAGCACTAGCTACTATCAAGTGAGCACCATATACTATTTGGTAAGAACTAGCTACTATTTGGTGAGCACTAGCTACTATCAGGTGAGTACCAGATACTATTTGCTGAGCACCAGCTATTATCAGATGAGCATCAAATATTATCAAGTGAGCATCAGATACTATCAGGTGAGCACCAACTAGTACTATCAAGTGAGCACCAGATACTATTCAGTGAGCACTAGCTACAATTAGGTGAGCACCATATACTATTTGGTGAGCACTAGCTACTATCAGGTGAGCACCAGATACTATTTGGTATACTTAGCATTGGTTTAAAGGAACTATTGAGACTATTCTTATACATTTCTATGCAAATACATAGGATTTATTTTTGGCCTAGTATTAACTGTAAAATATTTGCACATAAAGGATATAAATTAACTGAATATTAATGAAGTCAATCACAATCGCACTTCTTGCGAATAATTGTGTACAGAAAGTAACTTGGTGTATCATGTACACTGTTTGTACTGCATTTTAAAAAATATTTTTGTATGATGATACTACTCCATCCCTGCACAAGTTTGATGACCCCATGTATGCATAACAACACTGATAACTGTGAGGGGTCTACCACCCAGTCTGAAAAAAATATCTAGAGTAAACACTGTAAAAATGTTTAAACAGCATTGAAACACACTGAAATTGTTATCACAGATATTATACTAACAGACTTGTTTTACTTTATAACATCAAAAAATCGACTATTAAAAAAAATGAAAAAAAAAGTCTCAAAGTAACAAGTTTCACATATTAGCTATTTACTTACACTGTAAGAGATAATAATACACAGTTATCAGAATACTACAACATGAAGTGGCATGATTATCATCGGGTCATACACTGTGATACATAAATAAAGCCAGTAACCATCCCATCCCTACTTACTTACAAAGCAAAACAGAAACAGTATTTAGCAGTGTTGTTCTGCACTGGATGGCTTCAAATTCATGGTTCAGGTGGTATGTTCCATGGTCAATTTTGTAAAGCCATTATCACGGAACATTAGAAGACTAAGAAGGCCATGTCCTTCTGGGCGATCTAGCGCTGAGCTGAACTCGTCACTCATTTCCCAGAAGATTAACAGTCCCAATGAATTCCCCACACCACCTCGCAGCCATAACTACTCCCCAGCCTGAGGCTCCTGCACACACACACAGATTTCTCCAACAGATAACACACTGGCACAGTAATGCACTTCCCACACACACACAGCGCACGCTCAAGGTCTCCTACATGCTTGATCAGAACTGTCATCAGAGTAACCGAGTTACCCGAACCGGATGTGCACCTTAAAAAAGGGCTTGGGGGCGTGTCCACTGCAGGCCAATGGAAAACAGCCAAAGACAAGCAGCCATGTGAGGTTAGGGGGAGTGGGGAGTAGAGAAAGTGAGAGAGAAAGAGAGAGGGTGGAGAGAGAGAGAGGGAGCCTGAAAGAAAGTGAAAGAGTGGGTAAAAGGCGACACGTTCTAGCTCATTTATTTTTAGTCGACCTGTGATAGCGTTGTGCAGCGTTAATGATTCATGGAGAGACGAGGGAGATAGAACGAGACATAGAGGGAGCTGGCGCCACCTTGGCCATGCTCCAACAAGCCTGCAGTAGAGTAGCCTGATACGGGATAAGGTGGGGGGGTAAAAAAGGGTAGAGGAGAGCAGAGAGAGAGAGAGACAGAGAAAGAGAGCAAGAGAGGGAAAGAAATGGGAAAACGTGAGGACAGAGGCAGGGAAACATAAAGACTGTGATCATGTGACACTGGGGTGGAAAAAGGGAGAGAGCGCAATTCCAAAGGTATTCAAGGAGGAGCAGCCTTGACCACACTGACGTGCAGTTAGGGAGGCAGTCATGATTTGACAGTGAGCTTAAGGAGGTGCCAACTCGCGTCACTGGAAACTCCTCGAAGTAATTAGTGTCTCGTTAAAGACAAACATCTCTGCTCGTCAAAGACAGCATCTCTGCTGACCATGCCATGTGACCTGGACACCTGCAAGCTCCTGCAAAGAAACTTGACCCCCTAGGAGTCCTTCAAAATAGCACAAAGAAACAGGAACAGCGGATGGCTGCCCTCGGACGGCCCCCTCAGCCAAGCTCACTGGAGATCAGAGGTTGAAGGTCACCGAAGGGAGGAGGTGCTTCCACAGCTTGGTCATTAAGGATGCTCTGTTAAGACAAGCCTCCTATCAAGGAACTGAAGTCATTTCATCGCAGAAACATCCACCTAACAGCTGGATTGTAATTGACTTGAACTGTTTTATTACTTTTATTTTCACAGTTTATAAAAATGTAAATGTTAATTTAAACTAATTATATTAATTCATTCATGCTATGCTACATAAAAAGTAAACTATTAAAACAATTCAATAAAAAACCTAAATTAACTAACATTTATCTAAAATTCTTATAATTCCACTTACATGTATGGGTCATGCTGCAGAGGAACAATGCCTCTTCTTGAGGGATGAGGATTGTTGTCACTGCTGGAATGCTGATATCTGATTAGCCTGCATATTTGAGCCTGAGGGTCACTGCTGCCTCTCCTCAGCTCAGACGGCCTCTCCTGAGCTCCGAGGCTGAAAGAGCACTGGGGCTTATATCCGCTCACCTGCGCACAGGAGAGAGGAAGAAGAGGAGGAGGAGGAGGAGAGGGGGGAGAGAGAAAGAAGCAGGACGTGCAGTCCAGGGCAGAGCAAGAGTTTACAAAACAGAAGAAGTCGTCAGAAGGAGGACAGGGAGGGTGAGGCTGCACTGCTTGCTGTGGAGCTTTGTTCTGCTCGGGAATACTAAGTCAGCCAGAGAAACTGTGATTTTAAGGCAGATCGCAGGATAGAGGCACTGTTTAGTGAGGAGGAGGACGGAGGAAGATGCCCGAGAACAAGCAGGCGGTCCAGCGGACAGGAAGCTACCTCTCACAGTCCGCTTACAGGAAAATCAAAAGGGTGCTGAGCTTCAAGAGGCGTGAGTATTTCAGAGATTTTTGCAGAGAGCTTTGGTGCAATGCTGCAGCGCTGCTGAGGGACCTCTAACAGGCGGTATTAATTTTATCTAGGATGTTCACTCCTCTATGCTTTTGAAAACATTTTTTTTTTTTAAATTGCAAGCCAAGATACTGTATATTTACTGACCTACTACTGCCTTATTGCCCACAGTGACATTACTACTGTAATACACTACAGGTCAAAAGTTTGTAATCATTTGCCATGTTAATGTCACTTGTGTCATGTAATACACAATAACATATACAATCTAAACTAGACGTCAAAGATATTTTTCTAGATGTTTTATTTTACACACACGTTTTAATTTTTTATCCATCATATATATTATATGGCTATTAGTTTAATATTAAATATTACACATTTTGATAATACTTCTGTCTAGAGTGACACTATAATGCCCTTTTATTGAGCTTATTAAAGCAGCAGTCAGTAATTAACAGACTGATATTGACTTTTTTGTATTACACAGCATAATCTTTTGCAGACCATTTTAAATGTCCATTATTATTAATAAGCCTTATTAAGCCAATAGCTGGTAAGTGACATATCATGGCAATGAAAGCTTTAAAACACACTTCTGTATTCTCATGGTGAAAACAAAAAAGAAGAAAAGAAGAAATAAAATAAAGGAGTACCTCTTTTTCACCTTGAGATTGAGAGGAGACTGGGACCATTAATTTGCTGAGTAATTTGTTAAGACTTGAGTACTATAATACTATATAACAGATAGATAAAAGGGCTCTGGAACTGGTTAATTTCTGTAGTTACTGCTTAATAATGTAGGAATAATAAACCAGTAAATCACTAGTTATTAATCACTAGTAAATCACTAGCTTGAAATGGCTTAATAATGGACACCTAACAAATTTAAAAGACTATTATGTACACATATAAAAGTATTCTGGAAGTGCTGTATCTGTAGCTTAAAAAAATTTTAGTAAAGAGCTGCAAGTTAAATAACAACTATACTGGCTTGTTAGGGTTCAGTAAGCGCACTACAAGGGAATTATAATGTCCCGCTGTGCTGAAGTGTGAGCGATATCTTTTACATTAGATATTAACATCATTCTTGATACTATTTAGTATCAAGAATACTATATAAATTATATCATCGCTGTCCAAAGAAAGACAGGTATTTCTGAAATAGTAACTTTAAAGGAGAGGGCAAAAATGTTCATTTAACATGATTTTATTCCAAGCAATTTCTATGGGTCCATTCATCATGAAATTTTTCCACAATGTAGCTGCTGACAGCTACAGCTGACAGCTGCTGAGCTCCAATTATGTAGAAAATTAAAAATTGCAAAAAATGGAGACTATACTATATATAATATTATATAGATTCTATACAGTCATTTTACAATCTGGACACATCAACAATGTGGTTTTTAACTAACTATGTGAAACCTGTGAACTGTGAAGTATGGTGCCGTATCAGAGCAATATGGTGTCAGTTTTTGCTTTTATATTATTACAAAAAAATTATAATTCCAAACTTTTCATCAGTGTTTCCAAACTTTTGAACATCATGTACAACCTTTGAAGGCTTTTTCCCCATACAAGACAAGGCTGGGTACACAAAGCCTGGACCATAACAGCCCTGCCTCTTCATCTCAGGTGTGTTTGGGCAGCGGCTGGAGGAGACCGTGCTGTACGAGCGGCGCTATGGCAATCATATGGCTCCTCTGGTGGTGGAGCAGTGTGTGGACTTTATCAGGGAGCGCGGGCTGCTGGAGGTGGGGCTCTTCAGACAGCCTGGCCAGGCCACACTGGTCAAAGAGCTGCAGGAGGCCTTTGATGCTGGCGAAAAACCCTCCTTCGACAGGTAAGTGCTAGCAGCACACAAAGAACTTCCATTTTAGAACCTTCTTAGACACGAACTAAGTCATTCCAGTCATATCAGGTATCAGATGAATCATTCACAGCATACCATACCAAAAGATCAAAGACTTATGAAGAAAGTAACTATGTTAGACAAATAGAACTGGCAAAGAAGGGAACGCTGTCAGCTGAGTTCTGTGTTTTTGCTATCCCAGCAGCACAGATGTCCACACAGTGGCATCTCTGCTAAAGCTATACCTCAGGGAGTTGCCTGAACCACTCGTGCCATTCTGTCGCTACCAAGAGTTTCTTATGTGTGGCAAGAAAATCCCCTCAGACAGGGAGCAGGTAACCACTACATTTATTACAGCACATTACATTGCAGAGGATTGCACTATGTTGCATCATTCAGCACACGTTCTTACCCTGAGTGGTTCAAATGCATGCATCTAAGGTTCATTAAAGTGGATCATAAGGTCCCTAGAGTCCCAATTTAAAAATTCCTCACCAACTGCACATTTGCAGAAGTCTTTCAACATCAGAAGCATATTTTAATCAAAGTTTCAAATTTGAAAAAGTGTGAATTCCACAGTATGAAGGGATCTTCATATGATTTGATGGTTACATGCATAAAGTAGAATCTTTCTCTTCATTAGCTTTGGCACCAGGGATAGTCAGAACTGCTAGGACTGAAGTTTAACATCCCTGCAGTACCAAGTAGATATTAAAAAGGCGAGGCGGGCTGCTGTGTTTGATGCCATCTGCTGGAAGACCAGTCAGATAAAATGGTAGATGTGAGGTGGGACACGCATGATCAATGACGATGAGGTTAATCAGAAGGCCTTGCAAGGATATTCAGGGTTATGTAGACAGGAAGTAAAATATAATACATTCACAGTGCTCACTAATGAGTAGAGGATCCAGTACAAGATTCTCCATCGCTTCATCTTGTATAACACTTTTCTGGTCTGGTCTTCAGGGTCTGCTGGAGCTGAGAAATCTTCTTCATGAGCTTCCCGTAGCCAACTTTAACCTTCTGAAATACATCTGCCAGTAAGTGTGGGTTCAAAGGGTGTAACAACAGGTGCCATTAGATCTTCAAAACGCTCCAGTCCAAATCAGTATTTTTGTTGCAGGTTCTTAAATGAGGTCCAGTCCTATTCTAGCACCAACAAGATGAGTATCCAGAACCTGGCGACTGTTTTTGGGCCAAACATTCTACGGCCCAAAGCTGAGGACCCTGAGAGTATTATTGGAGGTGGGCATACTTTTAAGATATGTATGTGAAAAGGAGCCAGACAGAAAAGTAATGGGAGAGAAAGAAAGTAGTAGGCAAACTTGATGTGCTGATATAGTTTGAATCTCCCAAAAGAATCAGAAAGCTAGGGGACAGCTTCCAAATCAAATAATGAAACAGGACAAACAACAGAAAACAATAACTTGGAAAAGGAGCAATGTCATGCTACCAAGATGCAAGATTTCTCGATTCCCAGTGTCTTTTTATTGAGCCAATAATATTCATACCGGGGCAAGCTTCACAACGTGTATCGATGAAGTTGAGGAGTTAAAGTTACACCAGCAAGAGTCATCCACACTTTTAGAAATAAAGGTTCTGTGCAGGTACATTTTTCACCCATCAAGGTACAAACAATGTAAACATACCCACAAAGGTACAACAGTGGTGTTAAGGTCCAATTGTGTACCTTAAATAAGTTTTTCTCAGGGAAAAATAGATATGTGTACCTTTTCATAACCTAATGTTTTAAAAGAGAACAATAAAATAAAAAGCCTGGAGACGAGACGGGGTGTGTGGAGTCAATACAATTTAGAAAATATAATTTCAATGGATTATGGTACAGTTATGTTCCCTGACAAAAGGTACTGAGATGTACCCTTGAGGGTGACAGCTTCATACCTTTTTTCTGAGAGTGCATGGTCATAAGCTTCCAAAATCTCATGGCAGACATAAACTGCGTACAGCTTAAAAAAATGTCAAGGCTACCCAACAGGATAAGGAGTGAAAAAATTCCGCCCGGACAAACCAAATCTCTAGAAAATCCTCCTTTGTGTATCACTCCCACAGTACATCAGTCATCACTAATGTGGTGTGTTTTTACTTGCAGGGGCAGCAGTAGTTCAGCATCTGATGTCCGAGCTAATCAGAGAGCACTGTACGCTCTTCTCGAAAGAAAACCACAGCTCTCCAGGAACCTCTATACCTACTTTCTCTCCCATACACAGACAGTGCAGTAAGGTGGAGTGGGTGCACGCTGAGTCCTCTGGGCATCCAAGTGAGCCTCAGGTGGGACTGAGTGGCGAGCGACTGCCCCAGTCAACTCAGACCTCTATGCAATGCTCACGGAAGCTCTCTCTGCCACTTATGACAGAAAGGAGATCATCCTACCAAAGTATGCGCACCCACCGTCTTCTATCAGAGACGCAGCAGTGGCAGCCTGAGGCTTCTCCTCAGTCCAGCTCGGCTCTGATTTATGAGAACCACAACCCATCCCTTTCTGCACAGGAGTCGCCCAGCAAAGGACCTATCCTTTGTCCGACCACACCACCTTCTGCTTCCTCCTCTATGACAGCAGTGGCAGAAGGTGGAGATGACTTTGTACAGCCTTGTAGTTGGCCTGGTCTGGGACAATCTGGCTGGGAGACTGAGAGAGTCTTAGGGGACAGTGGTGGAAGCAGCGAAGCCCAGGATAGCACCTTATCTGTATATGACAACATGGGCACCGAGGAACAAGCAAATGAACTTGTGGAAGATCAGGAGGTGGTCATTGGAATGAAGGAGCTGGAAGCATCCCCTAGCGTTGCTGACAGCAGCAGCTCCTGGTCCTCCTGTGAAATCTTGCCCATTGACGAAGCAAATGCGGGAAGCAGGAGCGATGGACCTGCTAGTCCTTGCCACAGCTCTGTACACTTCCCTTCTTTTAGGACAGAGCCTGGGGAAGGAGATCCACATCCCAACTCCCCTGCTTCCTCTTCTGCCCCCACAGATGCCCCTCTGAGTACTGGCAGCAGTGAGGTCTTTCTTCCGAATGGCGACCCACAAAGCCCTGCTGCCTCCCAAGTGATGCAGTGCCTCCTGGCCGGGCTCCGAAACCAAATGGCCAGGCAGAAAGCAGAGTATGAAGCCAAGATCAACAGGTAAGCACTCTACGGCTGCAAATAAGAATTTCCATAATCGATTCATGTATTGACTACTATTCAATTAACCAAGTAATTGAACCATTACGCCTTCTGCGGTTTCCTCTCACTTTGCACAGTCATACTGCTGCCATCACGTTCCGTCTGTGCGATAAGTGATTTCTTTTTGCTGGAACAAAACAACAGAAGCCATTTTTCCTTCCTGTAGTGTATTGAAATTTATTAGAATGACTGCCTGTATCATACAGACACTATAGAGCAAAGGTCTTTAATTAAAATTCAATAAGGTCCAAAGAAAATTTCCTCAAGCAAAGGTCCGGAGCCTCATAATATCTAGCTTGCATTATGATTCAGTGCCATATACTGTATACTGAAGTAGTACTTATATTTACATCTTATACAGTTAACAACTGAATGTCGAATCAAATAAAGTACAATTCAGTAAAATTTCAACAATATTTATTGTCAGTTTTCTCTTTTTAGAACACACCATGTAAAACAATCTGGCTGACTTTCTTCTCCAACTGCTACGTCTCGCCTCGTCCCTCCTCTGTGTATGCGCCACTCACTCGAGTCTCAGTGCTCACAGTAATGCACAGATCTGATTGTAGCATCACGTGTGATTTTTACAACGCATGCGGCTGGTCTATGAGTTTCCCGGGCCGCTAAAGCTACTGTAAAGCCTAGAAAAGTTACGCTGATTAAAATAGGACCACCTGGTCAAAATTAAATAATTCTCCATAGTTTATTGGTTATAGGCCAGGTCCACATAGGACAGTGTCTGGGTCCAGACTTAGACCGCGGTCTGCCTATTAGTGACCTCTGATAAAGAGCATCACAGAATGCTAAGCACCAATATGCACCAACATGTTAACCACTAATCAACTTTGTTGACTAATCGTAATGTCAAGATCATTTGTTGTCTTAAATGACAAATGATCTAATTATGTATGTAATAGATAGTAATTTAGATTTATTAGTAATTACTTGTCAAATTATGTTTGAGATTTGTTAATGACTTAAAATGCGAGTCATTCCACGAAAACGTCATTTTCTATGCTATGCAGCTTTTTCAATCATTATAGAATCATCTCAAATTCACCTTCTGGTCTTTTTACCAGCATTGTTTTATAATCTTTTTTTAATGTTTTTTTCCATGGCAACTCACCATTTCTTGTAGTGTTCCTGCATTTCTATCAAACCTATGAATGACTCATTTCTACAATATCTTAAGTTACATCATGAGCTCAAGATTGCCCCACCCCCAAAATACGTTTACTATTATCTCAAACTAATATCTTCTAATCCTATTTTCCATAATAAGGACAGTTATGTCTCATTTTCATTTTTTAAAAAAGGTATGTGTCATGAGTGCTTCATGGTATTAAAAAATTGGACTAACCAACACAATAGGAATAAACACATTTTCAGTTAGTATATTCTTCCATTACTTGTTGCTGAGAGATCTTTACGCAGAATACTTTGCAGAGACATCCAACAAGTACCCTCTTATGCAGGCCATAAAAATAAATTTGCAGGGCCGTGAAGATGCATAAAGACATCACCATCATCTGATGTGTCTAAAATGGCTCCTAGCCAAAAATTCCCCATTATATCATCAGGCAATGTGCTTCCCTGGAATATTCTGCCTCAAACTGATTTCATATTAATTCCCACTTTCTGCTGCTTGGGTAAAAATACAAAAAAAAAGTCTTTTGTCAAGATACTCTTATACTTTTGAGGTGTTTCATGAAGCTGAAATGTAGGAAAATCAAGTTGATGGCCAGCAAGAGATTCTGTGCAGGACATATCCCCCAATAACAGACGTTTATGCTTGAACTTTATCATAGAAACGCATGACTTGACCGTTTATGCAGTTTTACATGATTAAAAACAGTGAGTCCTCTTTTGAACAGTAGCACTGGTTGAGTGAATGTTTACTCTGGGTACACAGGTTGGAGCGTCGGAACGAGGCCCTCCAGGGGCAGATGGTGGAACTGCGTGCTTCTCTGGAGCAGCAGCGGCGCTGGGTCAGTGCAGCAGAGATAAAGATGAGGAACGTCGAGCGAGCCAGAGTGGATGCAGACCAGCGCAACGCCGCACTGCAGAGAGAAATGGAGCAGTTCTTCCACACATTTGGAGAGCTCAATTCAGAGGCCCGCAAAACAGAGCGCATCATTCAGAGCTTCTGAGGCTCCCAGACACTGCCACCAATCTGTGTTGCCATAACGATACCAGTTGAACATTTGAACACAACCTGCTCTCTTCTTTACGGTCATATTTTACACATTTTAGAATAACAGTGAAGAAAAAAAACATAAAAAAATGGTATTACTATAGTCAGAAATACTGACCTTTTATCAGGGCTATTCTGACCCATGCCATGCTACCTCATAAACACAACTAATTTATTTAAATGCATTAAGAAGGACAGACGTTTGATAAATGAACCTAAAGTTCTGTATAAAAACACTTGTTAGGGGGCACAGAAAATATACTGTACACCGTCAGGAAAAAAAGCTATTGTATAGACCTTTTGTTCATCAGGGTACAAACAATGTGAATGTACCCTCAAAGGTGCAACAACAGTCTTAAGGCCAACCTGTGGACTTCAAATGAGTTTTAAAGCTACACTGCATTCACTTTTGTCGAGGAAAGGGGCGTATTTGTACATTTTAAACATTTTAACATTGGAGTCAAAACAGAGTAAATACAATTTATAATAAATAAATAAACAAACAAACAAACAAAAAGTATACAATGGAATATTTTACATCTATGTCCCCGTGAGGGTACCACCCCAGTGTCATGAAAGACAGTTTGGCACCTTTTTTTTTCCTGAGGGTGTATACACATATTTTAATGAACAACTTCTGTGTTTTGGTAATAAATTCATGCAGGCATCAAACACCACTATTATTTGCCTTAGAAGCAAATTTCAATAATTATGCCTAAACCATGGTTATGAAGAACACATTCAATCAGGTGTGTGCAAATTTTTGACTGGTACTGTTAACACCCTCTAAAACCGTCTCAGGCTTTCACTGATGATAAAAGCCTACTGCAACCCTAAAGGGGAAAAAGTGCTTCAAATACAAGCAGCGCAGGTGCTAAGAGCCAGGAGCAACCAGGAGGACCAGGGTGTTCTTTAAGAGATGACTGTCTGAAAGATGGCTTTTGCTATGCAGGTACTCAGAGACAATGGAACGACCCAAACGTAGGGGAAGAGATATGTCTAGGAAGCATGGATATCATAAAATACATGAGACAGGATGAGTTAGGTCTTATGAAGTATTGAGAATCTATTTAGATTTTGATGTATGATTTCATGTACTGACACTGTATCTAAAAGTTGGGTGCTTTAACGGAAATAACACTGAAATTTACAAGCAACTATTCATAAATTTTACGTAACACAAAAAAACATTCTAATAATGTGTACATACTGTACTTTAACTGACATGCATTTATACAGAAATAAAAAAATGTAAGAAACGTAAAAGCAGCACATCGTTTTCAGCTTTTTTATTTAGCCAGTTGTTACAGATGTTTCTTTTTCTCCCTTACAGAAAAATGGATCTGACTCTCCATTGCAGTAGATATAGGATCCTGTTTGAGATTTTGCATATGTTTCAGACAAGGTTGTATGGCAAGAACTCACTGAGAGCTTTCACTCCCAACAGCCCACCAAGAACGCATCCATACATGTCACGACGATACAAACCACGCTAAAGCAATACGGACATATTTGTACATAGCAGTTAAGATATTTACTCTTCAGGTTTTGACTGAAACAAGTTTGAGTGACCCATGGCTTAAAAATGTAGGTATGTAGTCTTAAAGCAAAAATAACAATAAAAATAAAAAATGTGGAACTGCTCCTGGGAGAAATCTGATAGTGAATGCGAACTGGTGAAAACAAAAACAAACCGACCAGAGAAAAAAAAGACAAACAAATCTACTCAGTTACTGGTTCCGTCTCCAACAATACAGATTGTCAAAGTGACACAGCCATACAGACATATACCCTCTCCCACAAGGGTAACACCAAAATAAAGAGAAAGCCCTTGAGAAAGTTTAGAGCCAGCTTGTTCTGCACCCGTACAGGGGTTTAATACCACTAAAGTCCACTTTTGTTCATTCAGAACTGGATGTTCGGACAAATCAGATTCCACTAATAACAGGCAAGCTAACCCATGAAAGGTGAAACAAACAAAAAAAAAAATTACACAAACAATGCACTATTGCATTACTGTAATACAGTATTACAGTGCTACTATTATGAGAAGAAGCACCTGTTGAGGTCATGCATACCTACATGTCTCATATTGATGCTAGAATGCAAAAAAACAAAACCAAGTGCGTGTTCTTACAGCGATTCTAGAGAAATGTGTATAAATGAGGAGGTGATTTTGCAAGAGCAAAATTATCACCCTGAATGTCTTATCCAACTGCAAGAAAATGCTTTTGTAGGTGCAGAAACGGTGAATAGCTTAAGGCATGATGAACGGTTATGATGCTGAGGCCGAACTCCACGTCGGTCAGTCAGTGAAGGGCTCGTCTAGCAGGATGATAGAGCCCATTTTTAGTCCATTAGAGCAGGCCGAAGACATACAAACACATACACACAGACACCGCCTGAAGCCAGCCATTTCCATCTCCTGACGAGTCCATAATTAATTATTAATATCTAGGAGGTGAAGCAGATCTTCACAGATGTCCTTAGATTAGGAGTTATCAATGTGCTCCAATAAGCAACCCTGGCATTGAATGAGTTTCATGCAATTCTGTTAGCATACAGCTATACCACATAATGGAACAGCTCCAAGTTGTGTTTTGTTTTTCTCAAGAGTCAGCAGAGTACATGTTCTGGTCCTTCTCTAAGAGTGACAATAGGGCGATTGGGAGGGATGGATGACTGGAGACGCACGTAAAGACTGCTTTCTCAATGTGTACCACACTCCGTTGTGCTAAAAGATCACAGGACTTTGAATCCACCGTAACTTGTAGTTTGCCACTGAATAAACAACAAAGGATTGGTAACTTTTTGTTCAAGTGTAAAATATAAAGCAATTAATAATTATCCTTTTCTTTCAGTGAAAGGCTGTTAATCTTCAACAACTGAAAACTACTGTAAAGTCTTTCACAAAAAAAGATAACTGATTCGTACAACATTCACACGGGTTCCTCAAGTTTGCGAAAATGAAAAAAGGCAATGGTCATCTTTCAGATCATGCACCAAGATCTTCAAAAATTGCAGTTTTCTTCTAAATTCTTTCTGGAATGATACGGAACAGAAGGCTTGTGCACTGCTTCCACAGTTTTAGCATTTGTCATCAATGTACATTTTACATTTTGAATATTTTACACAGTATATGATCTTTTTAATTCTGTGTGCATTTTTTTTCTTATCCAATTTGCAACCATTTAATTTTTTTAAAATAAAGTATGCTTATGCTATACAGTACTTGTGCTAAAACATATTTAGAGAAGCTGTAAAATCAGGATTTCACAAAAAAAAACATTTACACAAAATTTATATACGTATATACATGACTACACCCTATATGAATGAGATGCATGATCAAGTTCTCTGTTTGAAAACAAGGTGTACTATGTCTATATACAGAGGCAGGCACGACCATTTCTGTATAGGTGTATTCAGGTATATGCAGAGGATCTGTAGTCGTTTCTTAAGTGTTCAAGGTAAATAACATGCATCAATACTTTAGACAGAGCACTGAGAACTGAAATGACTTCTGAAGGGGGAATTTGCTATTAATTAGCCTATTCCACGAGTGTCAAACTGTGCTTCTTTTGGGTGATGGCATGAAAGGCAATATCAGCTACATGGCACAGAGAAAGAGAGAGAATGATTTCGGACAATCCGTTAGCCCACCTCTTAATGAAATTGAGAAATTATGATGAGCTAAAAACATTGCTAGTAATAATATAAACCTATGAGGCCCTATTCACCCATTCACACAGGAAGCATTTAAGGTGATGGGCAAATGTAAAAAGGGGGCTACATTTAGCACATGCCACCGTATAAAGTCTTGAGTTGGTTGTTTGTTTGTTTTTTTAATGTGAGAGGTAAAATATACTCATTGAGTGCTATAACCCCAACAAGTACTAGTTCCAACTCTCTACATAACCATTTAATTTCATTAGTGCAGTCTCCTGCTCAGCAAAGAAGGGGCCCTACAAATGAATGGAACAAGCACCGATAAACTCCACAGACCTTGGAGTGAGTCATTTAGCCTATACGCATTACTAGTGAAACTATTTAAATGTAAAAGTGACATGGGATCATAAGGCAATGAAACCAGTTATTCACATTTCTTCATCACTTAAATGATTAGAAATATGCAAGAACTCCATCCACAAAAGCCCCACCACTTCACAGTCTTCCAGTCTGGACCAAATCATGGGCCGCACTGCCATCTGGAAAAATGTGGGTGAGATGAGGCAAGAGAGAAAAGAGAGAGAGAGAGAGAGAGAGAGAGAGAGAGAGAGAGAGAGAGAGAGAGAGAGAGAGAGAGAGAAAGAGAGAGAGAGAGAGAGAGAGAGAGAAGAGAGAGAGAGAGAGAGAGAGAGAGAGAGAGAGAGAGAGAGAGAGAGAAAGGGAGGGAGGGAGGGAGCACTGGGGAGAAGAGGCTCACTGTCACTCCTCTAGCCCCCCTGCAATGGTGTCGATGCAGGAACTGTCCGTGTCAGAGGCCAGCGTCTGCTCAGTGGACATGGAGGAGATGTCATTAATGGAGGACGACTGTGAGGCTGTAGCACTGCTGTTTGCCACTCCGTCTACTGCAGAGGGCAGAACAGAAACAGACACGTTAACATTTCAATTATGTAAAACAGGCACAAAGTAGACACAATTTGGCATTTAGGTCATCAGTGACTTACCTAAGCACTCCTCTTTCAGAACACCATTCTTGTTCCTCTCCTCCCAGTCCATTACCTCTTTATAGATTAGCTCTAGAAACAGGCAGAGAGAAGGAATCGTTTCATTCGGGGAGCCAACAGAGATTTAGCACATTAATGCAATGGTTTGGCAAAAAAATGCAAGTAATTCTTCCCATTCTCCAAATACATTAAATAAGCCAAGACACGCAGTGTCTTCTCTAGGATTTTTTTCAGCAGTGGTGGCAGGCCCATACTTCAAACCTCCACCATTCCTAGCATGGTTCACTGGCTGTTAGAGGATTTAGTTCAGACTGAGTCACTGACCAATGTACCCTACTAGAGTTAGGTTGAAAAAGAGATTCAAACATTTAATACTCTCCTACTTAGTCAGAAATGCCTTTTACCTTGTTTTTGTACCTTTTACCCTGTTTTTGTACTATAATACTTTATACTAACAATGTTTACTATCCGGTGTCGACCAGAGGAGGATGGGTTCCCCTTCTGAGTCTTGGTTCCTCTCAAGGTTTCTTCCTGTTTCTCTTAGGGAGTTTTTCCTTGCCACTGTCGCCACTGGCTTGCTCATGGGGGCTCGGACCCGGATTTCTTTTTGTAATGCTCATTTCCTTGTAAAGCTGCTTTGTGACAACACCTGTTGTAAAAAGCGCTATATAAATAAACTTTACTCACTACTTACTAACAACTGGGAGGTCTGCACCCCACACACACTTCTCAATTTACTCAACCAACTGTTGCCTCAAAAAAATCCAAAATCTGCAGACTTGGGCCAACCAGCACAGACTTTATTTCTCACTCGTCAGGTGTATAGACACAGGAAAACTGGGTTGGGTTCGACTGACATGTAAAATCACAAACCACAAACTGCTGTTCTGTGTGACATGTAGAGGAATTTTTAAAACTACTACTAAATTCTTCTTCAAAAAAAAATCCTGAATAATTTATCAAAGTAATACTAATCACACCACACCGAGCAATAGCTTGCATAAGTCTGTTTCCTGTTTGTTTCCCATTATAATGCACAGATAGCCAAAGCAAAATCCATTGGTTGTGGCCAGTTTAATAGAAATAGACTTGCTCATGCGGTTTCGGTTGTCCATAAAATGTACAAAATTCAGGCTTCAAGATGCTGTACTGGTTTTGGCTAAGGCATGGGCTTTTGCCTATTATTAATATAATTAATAATAACTGACAAAAAAAAACACATAAACAAGTCTTTTAGAGATTAATAACCCAGCATGGTTTCAGGAAAGCGTGATGATTTAGGCATGCAGTTTGCACAAAGCTAGTCTTAGCCTCAGTTGTTATTAGCACACAATGCCCCAATGCCAAACTTTAAGCTTCCATTAGCTGCTAAGGCTGAAAGCCCCACTTTGGACACTGAACACAGCTTGATTGATAATCTACATTTGAGGTAAGTGAAAAACTGTGTTTCTGGTTGAACCGTCACTTTAACTAGCACTCTTGGCCTTCCAGAATTGTGCACAGAGCATTTTTACCTTTCCACTGTTCTATGCTGTGTTCCCTCTCCTCCAACTGCTTGTCCGAGATCTGAGGTGGAGGCTGCAAATACAAAAGAGCTATTAAAAATGACCTTAACAGACGACGTCTGTCTGGTACAATAAAAAACGTCCTCAGTTTAACAGTGTCAATGGGCTATGTGACGTGGGAGAAGGGGGAGTCTTCACTGACCGCATCAGCCTCGGCTGGGTCGTACCACACATGGATATAGGGGTGGTTAAGGGCCTCCTGTACAGAGATGCGACTCTCTGGATCAATCACCAGCATCTTTGACAGCAGGTCCCGAGCTTGGCTAGCTGTAGGAGGCGGGACGGAAGAGAACATGGACAAGATACAGTCATAAAGTTTGCAGGGGAAACATCAAGGCATCAATGACAAATTTTGGAAACATGAGAATATTTGAGAGATGAACACTGGAGGAATGATTGCTTGCATAACAGACAGAGAGGATGATGGGGGAGGGGCAGAAAGCAAAGAAGATGAAACGGGGAGAAAGAGGGACAGATAGAGCAAGGAAACTTGGCTGACAACCAAGCGAGGAGAGTGAAAGTGACCGAGCCAGTGAGAGGATTATAAAGCAGAGAATGCCAATCTCACTCTTGAGCTTGTCGTGCTCAGTCTCTGAAGGAAAAGCCCAGTCAGGGAAGAGCTCGCTGAAGCTGATTCCGGGGAACTGGGGTTTGTTCATCACATAGTTCCTAACTGTCTCCATCAGACGGTTCATGAATTCCAGAGAGGGAGTGCCCAGCACCTCGATTACCTTATTCCACTGGTCAATGTCTGGCAGGAGCTCAGTTAAGTGAGTTAAAATGAAAAGGATTCTGCTAGTTCAGAGATACACAGATATAGAGATATGTACAGAGATATTGAGCTAAATATGTGCATCCATGTACGGATATACATATCAATGTATACATATGGATGTATACACAGGGGAGGGTAGTAAGGTGTGCCAATAACGTAAAACAAAACAAAACAGAAAGGGCTGAGAGAGAAATGAGTACAGCAGAAAAGAAATATTTAGGTAGGCAGCTGCTATTTTTTTGCATAATGTGTAATTTTGGAGTAAGAGTAGGTCAGGAGTACTTATCACAGTTTAATGATTTGGGGTTTTGAGCCTTTAGGGGAAACAAACAATAAATTAAGCACGGAAAGTCCTAATTATAGGGAACGAACACATGCAGGCGCATCTGGCTTTCCCCTAGCTTGCAATTACTGAAGGAATTCTGACTGTTAAAATATCCCTTTTATTTATAATAGTGAAGGAAAAACTAGATGTTTGTAAGTATGTTTATTTACAGCTCAAACGCAGGCTGGATAGTCTTACAGATATGCGCTGATAGTCAACTGGTAAACGGATGTTCCTAACTGAACAGCAAGAAGATATATACAAACAAAACATGCTTAAGCAAGACTGATGACAAACTAGCAAAAACATGGTATGAAGAAAAGAAAAAAAAAAAAGGCAAAGGAGGCAATTGTAATGCAGCTGTTCCATGGAGGACTGTTTTGATCAGGCCAGCCAGGTCTAACAAAAAGGAAAGCAAAAGACAAAGGTTATTGTCTTTACACATCCTGTTCTCCATCAATCACAGGGTTCATGTCTGATGGTAAAATCAAACTAGCCTATTCTGAATAAAATTGAGGGGAGACTTTAAATATGAGAGCGATCTAAACTGTGGTCTGCTATTTAATTCAGTATTTTACACACCTCCAAATATAGTCAACACAGCAAATATTTGGAATTGCAGTGAGAACAGTCCTATTACACATTGAAGAAATAACAATAAGGCAATATGTTTTTCAAGTGCAGTTTTTCATTTGTCATCAAAGAAAAAGGATGCACTGCACAAACTACAGGCCCATGTCAAGGGCATCACAACTTCAGAATGTTTAATGCAAAATCTTAGGAAGCCCTTTTTAAGTTACTAAGACATAAAATATTCAACTGTGCTAGAGAAAAGCAAGCGGGTCTAGACAGTCTCAAAGAACAAACACAGTCTCCTACTTCCCAAGAGAGCAAAAGCCTTGCAAATGCATTCTGCTGCCATCTGTGCGTGCACAAACGCGCTGCACAGTACTTCAGCAGCTAATCAAAGGAAGCTGCCAACATGATTCAAACAAATGTCTGTGGGAAAGGAAGTGTATCCTGACACCTTTGGCCTTGTATAAGAAAAAAAAACACAAAAAGCTACACTGTGTGGTGTGTGACCATTCAGCCACTGTTCAAATGCACTTTTTAACCAGTGACTACAACCAAGTAAGCAGCAACCAGAGGCTCTGAGAGCCTGAAGAATCTAAAGTCTGTTTAAAGGATACGATCAGTGCCTTGGAATATAACACTGCCTTTTACCATCTCCCCCATAATGCAGCCCACTGACCAGATATCCACTGTAAAGGCAAAGTAGGACAACACATTCAAACACAATAATCAAATACTCAAATACAGGTCTTCAAAAGCAGCATTCCAATAACCCAACCTGGAAGTATATTAGGTAGGTAAACGCTCTCACCATTCTCCTTGTACTTCATGCCCAAGATGACCTCTGGTGCTCTGTAGTATCTGGTCACCACGTATGGAGTCATCATGAAGTTGGTGCAGGCGGTTCTGGCCAGTCCAAAGTCAAGGATCTTTAAAGTGCAGTCTGATTTCACCACTATGTTACTGGGCTTCAGGTCCTGAAGGGCAAAAAATAAATAAATAAATAAAAAAATATATTACTACACAGTCTGGTCTCCATAGTGATTCTTGTTAACTACTGCCCATCATCCTAGGAACAATTCACACACATAATACAACTCACCAGATGTTCAAATGAACATGGCAAAATGCTCAGGCTTTAGATGTCTGCATAGCGCAAGTTGCTGGAACTGCTTTTTATTAAGGATGGGGATTTTAACAATATTTTTACATCAACATAAGGAATTGATCTGCACTTGAATATTCACTTGATATAACAATTACCTTTGAGTTTTAGGCATGTGTGATAAACTGCCAGCTGCCCTACAGATTGGTACCAAGAGTCACACGACTTTGTAATGTACTGTGCAAATGTACCATCATACATATACATATAAAAATGCCGCCATGTCACTTTATATGAGACGCAATATCAGCTGCTTGTGTCCCCACACCACAAATGCAAATGGACTGGTTCAGAAGCCAAAACAACATCCACTTCCTCAAAGATCAGAAGGTCAGTCTGCACAAGTTTGACAGATATTTTCTTTTAAGACCATCCATCAACAATCATTATAAATGGAGAGCATTCTAAAAACTATGACTGCACATCATTTGTGTTCTATTGGCAAAAAGGCCTTTACTGACTCATGTCTCCAGATTGGCGTGTTATGCTTGGACCCTTATGATCACCACTTGTGGCTATATTTGTTGACAGTCCCTTAACAGCTCAGCGGTTACAGCAGTCTATAAAAAAATCAACGTGTTCTATGAAAAATGGCATCAGTTCAGACACAGACTACATCATAGCTGATTGCCTTTGTTGCAGAAAATGATTAACACAGTCTTTCTTGCATCCTCTGTTCGAAAGCTAAAATATGAACACCAATACCAATATAAAACTAACTTAACTGCATGAACCATGAGCTATCGTTAATGAATTTGGCAAGATAAAGTTACTGCAGCAAAAGTTAAGCCGTTAAACTATAGAACTTTATGTAGCAACAAACAAGAGTAACAAAGCTTACTTCCAAATCAATTTTGCGGCTGTGCTAAATGAAAACCAGGTAAATGAGTAACTACTTTAAATCTTTGTGAAGATGCTGCACGTTATCTTACATTGGCTCACAAAAATAAAATACATATATGGATTATGCAAATAAATCTTAAATTAAAAACCCTACAAATCTACATAATTCACATAAATTGTGTTTATAGCTTGCATGCATGTCGTATTCTCTGCAGTTCTATGATGTGTTTAAAAACTTAACTAAAACTTGCAAGATAGTACAAAACCTTTCATTTACTGTATTTTACATGCCTTGTTCAGACAGCAGATTAAGTAAACAAATACTAAGAATTTCAAATAGCTGCATATTTGAAAAATGCTACTTTCTACATCCACTTTCTTCCAGTATTAAAATGCTGCTTCTAAATCCACTACGCAGTCTTTGCTAATGCCAGGTGAAGAAGGCTTTACTCATGGCTACATAGACTCTTTACCCTGTGAATGATGCCAGCAGAGTGAAGGTGTCTGATTCCACACAGAATCTGATATAGCAGGTATGACATTCTCTCATGATCCAGGTCCATGTGGATCACCTGACACAGGCTAGCATCCATCAGCTCCATCACCAGATACCTAGAAGAATCAAACGATAAGTCAGATTAACTTTTAATAATTTACTCCAAGACAGATTCTCCTCTATAGGAATTCAACACTAAAAGTACTAGGGATGTAACAACACCCCTAGTATTTTTATTTGCTCAAGACGAGGCTCTTGAATAGAAACGGACAGGGCATCGAGCACAACAAATTCCACACATTCAGCTCCTTCTAATGCTGATTATACTGCTGGGGTGTAATAAAACATACAAAAATCAAGTCCAAACTGAACGCAGACCATAGCATGGCTAGCATATTAGCATATAAGAAGACCACAATGGCATGTCCATTCACAAAAAGTACTGTCTGTCAGTCGGGTAAAGCACAAAAAAAACAGATGAATGATTCGCTGCTGGGGTTGCTGAACTGCAATGATATTTCCTGAATTTTTTCCTTGCCACATTTGATTGCTACAGTGAAAAAACACAGCATGTGTTTCGCGTCTTCATGTGCTTACTTTAAAACAAAAAAAAAATCAGTGTTTCCCAGGTAACAGTGTTCTTGGAACATCTCAATTGTTATTTATGCTTTTAGAATTATTTAATTTGTTAATGTATTATGGAAATTGTGCTTTATCTTATTAAAAAATAAACAATTTCAGCAACATTGTAACTTATCAGCACTTTTGGTCCAACTGGGCAACTTTGGCTACTAAGTTAACATACCCAAGAGGCATAATGGCTAATCAGGCAAAATGGCCACTTTAAGTTTGTACTTCACTAATTGTGTACAGTGAACAAAGAAGACAATAAAATTGTTAATCAGTTATTTTTAAAGACAGTTACTTGTCAGCCAACATTTCATGACCAAGTCCTAGCAGTCTCATATCATATTTAATGGTATTATACATTATATATGGTACTCCTGCAAAACCACCACCCAACAACACTTGACTCAAAATAATTTATTTCAGTTCATTGTAGATATATATATCAATGTTGATTAAATATTTCCTGTTTGGCTTACCATATATATATATATATATAAAAACACTTCACTTAAATACTTAGCTGGATTAATCTGTCAAAAATATTGTCTCTTGGTGACTGAACATCTGAGACAGACTGCAGATTTATTGAAGACTCCAAAATCAAGTGAAACACTTATCACTTATACTGAAGTCATGGAAAGAGAAAAGCCAATTTCAAAACCTGCCACAACCTGGCCGTCCAAAAGAGAAGATTTAACAAACCCGGTTCAGCATCAGTCAAAAAGGCTTATGCAGTTCATGCCTAGAAAAACACAAGCTGTCATCCAAAAGAAGGAATATGCAACACAATACTAACCTAAATAAAATACTAAACACTAACACACCACATCATATCATATATATTTTGAATCATTACTTTTGTGCATCATAACAACCCTCGTAAATACGTTTTAGTTTAGACTTAAAGTATGTTCATAAATTCCTTTTTGAAAGTGCTTCACAGACCAGAACCATTTTATGGACGTTCAATCATAAAACCATAGGCACTCTACACAACATAATCTATCCGCACCCATGGAGTGTGCATTACAGCCTCAGCAAGCCTATGAATATTAATAGCCCCACCTGGGCTCTAACAAAACAACTCTCTGAAGCAGTAAAGAAACAGCACACAAAAGACACAGTTAGCAAAAACACTGCAGACTTACAAATCCTGGAACTCCTCCAAGGACTTCTGAGGTGTGAAGACATTCAGTAAACGAATAATCTGCAGAAAGAGGAGAGACGGACAAGAGATTTAAATGTTATAGTCGGCTGAGCTAATTAGCCTGATGCGCACAAGGAGATTTAGTGGTGGAGACGTACATTCTTGTGATTGACGCATTTGAGCAGCACCAGTTCTCTGTAGGCCCGTTTGGCGTGGGTCTGATTCTGAAAAGGCCGGCTGAGCTTTTTTACAGCTACTGGGATACCCAGGACAGTGTCCAGAGCAGAGCTTCGACAAGTAGAGAAGAAAGGACACTCCTATCATCATCATCATCATCATCATCATATACATAGCTGTTTAAATCAATTCATATTATAATTTTTTGTTGTTTTAGTCAATAATAACTTATATTACAAAATAGGTACAAGAAGGTATTTCATTAATTCAATATTTTGTTGGAACAAGAACTTATCAAATAACAGAAATTGCTTATCAAGCTATCTTGCCTTTTCATACTTTTTCAAACACAGCATTCTGCATATTTATTTTTTTAGCAATGAGAATTAAGTTGTTTCTTAATAATTATGGAATAGCTCTGTTCTGTGGCTTCTACTGTGGACACATCTAAAACTTCTTATTTAAAAGTTGCACAGTACTGGCACCATATTAGAACGACTTTACATGTATCTGCAGCAAAACCAGTTATATACTACTAAAAGACACTGATTACAAACTTGTGAACAGTAGAGTATTTCAAATAAAATCATATTTTGCCTAATGCTAAATGAGATGACAGACAGAGACTTGTCATTAGCTTGAATGAGCTAAGCTGGGGGAGGTGACATAATGGCAGTGCAACAGTGCCCACTCACCAGACGATGCCCTGGGCCCCGGAGCCGATGGCGCGGAGCTGCTGGTACCGCCGCAGCACCGTGAAGGTGGAGTCGCCCACCTGCACACTGTAGAAGTGCCCCTCCCCCTCAGTCATGGCTCCGCCCACTGATTGCTTCTCGACAAATCAGACCTGAGAGAGAGGAGAAAGAGAGAAGGGAAGTACTGAGAGAGATCGTCCAATGTATTACTTTCCCCTCTCCAGGTGTACTGCGTAAGTGCTGTGTGCAGATGACACTGGCAATGACTCATACAAGTAGAACCAGACACAGGGCATCAGTGACATCAGAAAGAATAAATGTCAACTAGAGGGCAATATTTTAAGAGCCAGCAGTGACATAAGACAAAGAGAATGCAGTGGTTAAAGGAATACTCCAAGATTTTTAACCTAATCTGTTTCTGTTGCATATACAGCATACAGTTGACCACAGACACCAATTCAAATGTGTTTCTGTGTACTTGGAAAAGGACAGAAAACCCTTTGAGTCAAAACTCAATTATCTTAGAAGCGATTGGGCAGTTGCTGAATTTCATCAGTAAGAGTTTAAGCAAACACACTTACACTGTTATATATATATATATATATATATATATATATATATATATATATATATATATATATATATATATATGAGACCTTTACAGGAGCAGGAAAAAACATACTCTTGATAAAGCTGTTGGATATTAAAATAGTTTGCTTCTAACTGGATATGACGCAAATACAGACAGGCTTTTTTTTTGCTGCGTAAACAGAAATATAACTATCCTCTCCTTCAAGCAAAAAGCAAACTACAAATTACAAAAGCACCATTGACTATTATGCAAAATAAAAAGAAATACTAACAGCTACTTACATCAGAACTACAGGCAGATGTTTGTGCACTGAAAGGCACAGCAAACAGTCAGCATTACCTCAATAGCTTACAGAAGAAAAGAGCTAATAGCTGTAGGGAAGAAAAAACAATTAAAAGGAAAAACATAAAATTATAAACAGCTTTGGGGCAAAATTTATGCAGGACTAGGTTTTAGGGATCTGCATGGGTACTCGAGTCCTCAGTTAACCTTTCAAGGTGCAAGGATTTAAATACTGAAATCATTAATCCCACGATAAATGTCAAATCATTATTTCTTTCAAGTTTGAAGGCTGATTTTTGCTCCTGGGTGGTTAATTGCTGTTTTAAACTATCCTTTATGGTCGGAACACGACAAACACTCACCAAACAGTGGAACATTTCACAATTCTGTCATGGGAGAGTGGGAGAGAGTGTCTGGTGAGCTGTTTTTGCCAGGTGGAAAAGCATGGCTATTTTGTAATAGTCATAATTTAAGAAAGAAAACAGATTATTTTTAGCTGGTGCCGAGCGCTCGGCTACCCCGCTACAAATGACATCACAGTATTCAGACACCAGCTAGCGACGACTGGATATTCAATTGTAGTAGTTTAAGTGGTGAACCTCAAAATATCAACACTAGACAAACAGAGTCCTCCTTTTAGGTAAGTTTAAACTTAAAGCGGTGCTTTTGTGCCGTGTTTGATCTACAGTCTCATCAATTCTCCGTGCTGTGTGAGTGACGGAGCGCTGCTTCAAGTTAGCCAGCTACTAAAAACAGCTAGCCTGGAAAGCTAGCGCTCTCCCACTCTCCAATGCCTAACAGCTTCCTCAGTTTACTTTCGTTTAAATCAGGGCTGTAACTGCATGAACTCACTTCTTTCTTTCACTTTCGTTGCTTGGGAATGCACTCATACTTAAATATGACTGTCCGAGCGCTGTAACAGCTCTGTAGTTGTGAGGATTGTGATCGTGATTTAATGCTGCTAAAGCTGGTTAGGATGTACAGAAAGAGGTGAGTTCGCTGTAGGACAGTACAGTTACACCACTGACCTCTTCACTCACACTCGGTCACAGGAGAACAGATCACCGGTCGCTCCACTCAAACAGGGAACGTATAACTCTGCGTTTCAGCCGCTGCTAAAGACTCCTCTTACTCGTGGCCCCCTCCCTCACTAATCATGTAGAAAAACTCGGAAGTGCGCCCTCTCCTGGCGACAGCAGAGTAGTGTCGCTTTCCTTGCAGTAGAAAACGCCACCAAGGCTTTTGCTAGAACGTGGAAGCGTGAGAATGGTGTAATATATCAAACATTTATCGAACATGTCGTATCGCTCTATCGAGGAAAAGTTATATCGCGATAATTATCGTTATCGTTTTATCGCCCAGCCCTGAAGTCAGAGTATATCAAAAGTTTGAATTTTTTCAAGTGAGCATCATCTAGTAGTGTATGCCATTCAGCTACTCGACTTGAATGGACTCCTCCAACAGCCAACGAAATTTGCGAGCACAAAAGAAGTAAATACTAGTACAAAAAAATTCAAATAATAGTAAAAAGTAAACATAGAAAAAAAAAGTAAAAAGGAGAAAGAAAATGCTAAAAAAAAAAAAAACACTTGCGTGTAGCTAAGCTTTTTAATGAACTGAGTTTAAGGCATGAGTGCAATCAAGTGCATGTACATCAAATTCCATTCACACATACTGTGAGATACCTATGATCTGCTAGGACTTTAAAAGTCATGTAATGTGGCATTTCACTGAATTGTTCTCGTGATAAACGGCACAAAAATGTCATCTGTGGTGATCAACAGTACGTTGCAGATTAGACAGCTAGCCAGTCGGATGAAAAACGAAGGAAAATTCCTTTAAGCATCAGTCACTTATGCTACTCTACAAAAAAAAAATTCCTAATGATTATCTCTGTCTGAGACAGACCGATACAGACACACGCGCACACAGCACGGTGATGTGATTCCACCAGGCCCTTCCCTCTCTTCCTGGAGTTTACGTAATAGCGAAGAACTGATTAGGCTCAGCATGATGCCCTTCTCTAACTCTGCCTATAAAACTGTCTCTTCTGTTCCTCTCACTCTCCCTTCTCATTTCATTTCAGACTCTCTTCTTCTCCTCAGATACCCTCTTTTATGTCCTCTCTCAGAACTATTCCCCTCTTACTGCAACATCACTTTATAAAAACCCTTAGCACAACAGACAGCTACAACTTTCGGCCGAGCCTTCTCGACTTGCTTCCTTTGAGGCAATGTTACCTTTTTTCTTCCACTCTTCACTGTCATCATCTCCCTGACTGTCACAGGGCGTTAAATCTTCTGCTTCTCAATTCGCTTCTCTTTTCTTTCTCCGCTTTCCTCCAACACAGAACAGGGGAGCACAGAACATCATCCCAACAGGCAACAAACTTTGTTTTTCATGTGCTGATGTCCTTTGATTTCACCGTGTTTTGTGAAGCTCTGAGCCAGCGCCTCAACAGCTAGGCTTAATTCCTCCGAGCTGAACCCCGCCCCCTGCACCAATTCAGCATTTCTTTTTCCCTTTTGTTTTCTAAACTGTCTCAAAGACAATCCTCTGGTGGTTTACAACTTAGACTGTGAAGCTTTCAGAAATCTAGGCTAGCGCAACACTAGCAAGGCCACAGAAACTGCTAACGGACGAATAAGAACCAGCTGAAGGAATCATGCTTAGTTTACATGTAAAACAAAAGTGAGGAAGTCAAAACCATTAGCACTTCCACATTCACCAAGCCCTTAACACCATAAGCTGGGGCTTTGCTAAGGTTAGCCTTCACTCTCTCCTTAAGGCCATCTGATCCCGTATGGAGATGGATGAACATAATCAGGTTAAAGAAAGCTTCATAATCCAATATCTTAATGGAGCTGGTTCTGCCTACAGCCAGCCTGCAATGGCATCACTTTTACAGTAGGAAATTAAGCAATCGAGCCAAGCATGCAGATCAATACGAAAAACTATAACTGATGAACATTTGTGGTATCGTGTTGCTTATGACTAATGCCTGACCAAAAAGGGCACACCAAAAGAGGTAACAGATTGTCAACTTTCTCTCTTAGTATCTTCATTTTGATTAAATATTGAAATATTCAGCATTAGTGATGCATGACTATACTGGATTTATATCAGAACTGGTGATGATTTCTCTCTCTCTCTAAATTATATATAATACAAATTTAATCAACAGAGTGATGTTTAGATTTGACTGACCAACATCTTTTGACACATTCATTGTTGTGTACTGCATTTGTAACTAGGCCGGTCAACCATAACAAGCTGATGATTAAGTGCTGTATAAATAATTACTATTAACAATTTAAAGTACAATGCCTAAAGTGCCCAACATGTCTGATTATCTTGTTTACTAGTTATAAACACTTAGTATCTGACAAGCTGGACAATACGACAATATTATCAAATTATTTTCTTTTGAGTATATTGTGGATTTCATCAGTACTTAAATATGTGATGTAAAACATTTAAAAAAAACAACAACAAAAAAAAAAACGCCCACACAACGACGCTTAATGTGTGTGATTATCATACAGGACTATTTGCAGTTAGGATTGGACTTGAGAAGCCAGCCATAGAGCAGTGCCGTTTACCAAGAGCTGTGAAAATACTCCAATATAAACAACATGATTACGTGCTGTAATTTATCATGAACATGCTGTGCATATCAATACATAAAATTGATTATACCTTATTAGTAGCTTGTGTTTATCCAAAAAGACATGACAATAAAGCTAATTTCTACAAGCTTGTTAATGAGATTGTCTATCATGTTAACGTCAAGCTAACAGTAAAGTCCCACCCCCAATTACTTTGTATGTACTTCATACACATACAGTTTGTGACTAAACATACATGTATGGGAGCATTTCCCCTCCTCCAAGCTGGGTGGAATGTGGATTTTTCTAAACCTTTTTTTAATGGAAAAACACATTTTAGGACCTCTCCTCCCTCTGTCGTGCTGTGGTTGGCTGCTCAGAGGAGGGACCGTATCGCGACCGTAATCAGAATGTGACAGCATAGTGGGAGCTTATGAAAGCAGAGCTGCTCAGGTCTTTAAAAAATTCTGGTGAAAAGGCAGCTTTTTTGACTAAAATGCAGTTACAGTATTTCAAGGTGTCCACAATAACCTTATAGTACGTGATTAATGTTTCATTACACCAAATTACCGAATACAACCTCGCGTCCACGAACACAACCCAAGCTCAAATAAACAAACAGTACTCACCACTGCACTTATTAACAAATATCAGTTATACAAACATCACGCACAGCTGCTTTTTCACAAATGTGTTGTCATAAGACTCAAGACGTGTCTCAATAAACGTGTTCTCCGCAATGTTTTACTGACACAAATTTGCTGTACTGTAATCTAATCAAAAAGAACATAATATTCTGTTTGCAGCAGTATTCTACTGTGGGATCTAACTGTGGAAAATAATCACGATTAGCTCAAATTGTTGTGATCAAGTTATAATGTAATAACTGTGACAGACCTACTTGGAATTCTATAGAAAAAAGCTTTGCATTCCTCCAAAATGCTAATGTAAGTAGATGTAGTTCTTATTTCTGCATTTTATAGGGTCTATGCCTTGGTGTTGGCTCCAGCAAATACATTCATGAAAATTATCGGATATCACAATTTTCATATCAGTGCACACCTCTTCAGCATTTAGTTTCAGCTGCCATTTGGATGAGCAAGGAGAATTAACCCTGTTAGTAGAGTCATAACAGCCTAATATCAATACTGAAAGGATAATGAGCAATGTTAAATAAATAGTACTCACGTGTCACAACAAAATGAGGTTAAACTCAGGCACTAATTGCATTCTACATACCATGTGACTGCATGACTATAGCTCAGTCACTGCAAACATCACTAAGTGTTGCAATGCCATGCAACATACACATTTAGTGACATTATTTACACAAACCAAAACTGTGGTGGCGCGCCACACACCCGACAGACAGACACAAAGACAGGCACACAGACAAGCAGATTTGCACACACAAAGCTTACTTTCAAATGGAAGTACGTCTTGGCCACTCTTATCTTTCGGAAGCTGCATGGCAGAAAAAACCCTGGGCAAGATGCTGCCATAAAACAACTCCCTCTCTCCACACCACAGCCACCAGGCACGGCCGCCCGTGCTGAATTACGCCCATCCTCGCCTGGGTCTCCAGTGCTAAATCACTGAGAGAAAGGCCAGGCTTGCTTCAGCTCACTGCAGCAAACAGGTACCCCCTTGCCTTGACTTTATCTTTGCCCGAGCGCCGACTGCTCCATGCCCATATTTCCTTGCCCGTCTGGAAGCGGAGGACACAGACATTTTTAATTTATATATTTATTTTTATTACTGCAGACTTGTCTGTTACAGCTGAGCTACAGCCTGATAAGCGAAGCAATTCACAGTCAGCGACGGCGGCTGGCTGGGGTTACAAATGTGCAGGACGGAAGAGGTCAGAAATTACAAACAAGATGAGATAGCTTTAAAGTATGAGTTTTGACATCCAAATGTGAAGAAAAACAAACAGACACACTCTCACACGAACACACCCACACATATACATACACGAAAGATATTACGCCATGCACTCAATAAGAGGCAGAAGCAGCGGTCAGTGTGAAGAGCCCCACAGTATGCACACAGTCTGACCTAGAAAGGCCCCACAGACTTTCAGCCAGGGGGCAGCTGCTGCTGGACTTTATCTCGTCCCCTCAGCCCCATGTTAGTCCTTTTATTTCTCTTTTACTAGCTATGATTAAATTTGACTCCATCTTCAACATTTCAGATTAGGATCAAAAATGAAACATGACCCCTAGTGCCAAACCTCTCCAAACTCCATGCCACCAAAGTACAGTCTACGGCTGCACATATGACTCTGCAGTCATATTCTAATATTAAATATGCTGACATCACTGGCATCACAAATCTACCGTTGTGATGGGAGAGATGTCGGAAAGATAGTGTAAGAAATATAAAACAGGTTTAAAGAAGGAAGAAGCTAAACCAGGTCTGGTTATCAACTAATGGCAATTCTTTCTTAAATGATGAAATAATCATTCTAGGGATGCATGATGACATCAGAAACCAATGTATAGACAGATATTTTAAAATATCTGAGGACGTATGTATTGTACTCTGGAAGAGCAGAGCATCTAGATGTGGGGCTACTAAAATGTGTGCATTTGATCCATTTCACTGTATTTATAAGCCTACAAAAATAAATGTTACATTTCTCTATAATGCTAAAACAGATGGATTAAGTCCAGGTTTATGCATTTTATAAAACCATAAGTATCGCCATATAGATATGTACACGAAAAATATCGGACATTAGCATCGGCCCACAATTCCCATACTGGTGCATCCCTCAAATCATTCAATCAAATGATCTACTCATAATGAACTAATGGCCCATATTTATGAAACTTCTCAGAATAAGAATGCTTATCAGGGATCAAGTATCAGTGTTCCTGGGCCCAGATACCCAGCAGACCAAGATTAATGTCACTGGTTTATTTTCATTTCACTAAGGCCATACAAAAACAGGACACCCAAAGAACATTCTAGCAGGCATCTCTTCTCATACTGTGTTGCACTAAATGTCAACACAGCTCGTACGTTACTAAAGCAGCGTCTCCTCACTTCTAACTGAATTCTCACAGCTCGTCCACACAGACCTGTTAGGACTCAGCTCAGCAATTTGTCTGTGCAGGTATGATGAAGGGTATGAGATCGTATTCCTCAGAACAATACACATGAATCCAAAACAAAGTCTTACATTTCGCACTGACTACAGTTATTCCACAGAAACCTTTTGCTTCTCTCTGCTTTAAAACATCTCATTCATACAAGTCCAGTGGATCTTCTGGTCGCCTCCAGCGCTAACCCTACCAGCCTAACGGCATGCTCTGCTTAGCAAGCAAGCCTGGCTATCCACAGCCACACTTCTTCCAGTCTACTCGTCTAACAAAGAGAAAGCAGTTAACGGTAGCTACTTCTTTTAGTCCTCACCCAAGTTAAACGTTGTCTCAAACCGTGTTGGTGGTAAATGTGGCCTTTAGCCACGGCGGTAGCTCCAGGCCAACACTCTGCAGATGTGTGGCCGCAGCTAACGCGGCACAACACAGCACAGCACGCCGCCTAAAGTCGACGCAAACTCTCGGTAAACTACAACAGTACGCCGTAAAAGAGGGCAGCGTTCATTATCCGCTTATACATGGCTGAGAGACGACGGAAAACGTACCAAAGCGCCGTGTTAATGTGATGTTAGCCGGGTAATCGTTCATTAGCTGGCTCGCTGCTCACCTCCTCCTCGTCTGCTCGCTTTCCCCGCTTCACTCCCATACACGGCGGCCGAACAGGAGAGCCTCGATCGCGGAAGAGTGTCTCCGGCTGGGCGGTTCACATCCAACAGGGTCTCCCAGGCTGGAGCGCGGGAGCAGCAGAGCGGCTCTGCGCTTTTCTGTGTATTTTTTAAACTATTTCAGGGTGAAATCCGCGGTTCTGCCCGTGTGTCAGTGGCATGACTGCAGGGCGGCGGTTGGTGGGACAGAGTGTGTGTGTCTGAGAGAGAGACGTGTGTATGTTCGACCGTTCTGCGCGAGCGAGGGTGACGTAATGGCGTAGCCGTCAGGTCAGCCGTAACTTCAGTTCGCGAGGAGAAAAAGTTGGAGGAAGTAAGAGCAGGCGGACAGGAAGTGTTCTAACGACACCTTCAAGGCTGTTTAGGTCTGCATGTGAAACTCCTGCTGTGTGGACCGAGCAGATGTTCCAAATGCTGAACTTTCACTGGTCCATGATCTACCGCCCACTCAGCTCTGTTCACCGGCAGTGTTTTTGTAGCGCTGTTTCTAAAACGACTTGCAAAAATAATGATTGACACGCCTTTCAGCCAATCACAACCGTCTCTAAGCGTGACTTCCTCCGTCAAGCGAAGGAAAAACTCCATCAAAACACACCACAACAAACCTGAGGTGAGCACAGCAGTGGCAGTGAGCTACACTGGAATTAGGCTGAGATGTTGAAGTGGGTTTTCTCAGGAACATGTAATTCATACACACGGTACCCTGATCATCTGAATGGTGGCACTGTTTCTATTGTATCCCAAAGCTGAAAAGGTTTTGGATAGAAATGGCACGTCACTTTTTTCCCCATATTGATATTGATAGATTGAGTATCGGTCATACCACTACAATATTTTTTCTTTATAAATTATGAAGCTTTAAAATGAGCTTTTGTAGCAGGTTCAAGAAATGTTTACATGTTAATTTTATATTTCTTGTTCTCTAGCATTTATTCACTGGACTTACTTTGTTAAGGACTCTTATTTGAGAGGGCAGGGCTAGGAACCGCCCCAGGGGTGTCTCTGTGTGTGTGTGTGTGTGTGTGTGTGTGTGCAGAAACAGAGGGAGTCATAGGCGAGCTGTTCGACAGAGAAAAGCTTCACTTATGTATGGTGTGGCCGACAACAGCTGGAAAATAAAGCATCACGACTTGTGCGAAAGCTGTCTCTCTTTTAGTAGTGGTGAATGCAACACTATTTTTTAATAAAAGCACTTATGGTGAACATCAAAAAGGCTATCATGCTGAAACTACTCAAACACTCCACTATCCCACAAGATTCAACATACAGCAAAAAACATCACATCATACAATATGTATGTGCTATTTCAGGCTATTTTTGAGACAGGGTTGGCTTAGCACCAGATTCTGTGAATGAAAGAAATGAAAAACATGCATTTATTGCATTTTCCTAAAAATTAACTATCAAAACTCAAATGCAAATAGAAATGAACAAAAAACAAACTCACCTATACTTCATGCTTTATTAATTTTTTATTACAAGTGATCACTGTCTAATAGTAAACAGTAAATATTCCATATAACTTGTTTTTTATATACATACCCCTTAACCTTCATCCCATAAAACTTTAAAAAATATATAATAAAATTGATTTTAAAAAGGACATTGACAACATGAATACAGACAATAGAGACAATTACATAGGACTTATCGGGAGCAATTAAAAACCTATTTACTCCCAGCCAGTAGAAAATAAGTTATCTAATTTCTACATAACATAAATAGATTGAGACAAATCATGTAAATATTTCAAGGTAAAAAATTGGAATGTAAATTTAATAATACAATGGAGTGTACCTCAGAATGCCTCAGGCAAATATGAATTTGATGTAATATCCTAACAGCACTACTTTTTCAGATTTTCCAGTGAAGCCCAGAAAATATTTACAGTGAAATAAAAAAAAACAGCTACAAGCAAAACTGTCATCTGGATGTCTGAAAATGTTCAGTATTAGGCTACATAACATTGAAAATGAGGTGACTTTGGGAGTATTTACAGTGTTTCCTCGTGCTGTAATCAATAGTAAACTCCCTTCACTTGAATCCAGGTGTCACTCACAGTGAAATATGATTTGGCTTATGTACGTCAGTACCTCCACAGCTCTCAGTGGAGAAGGCAAAAGACATTCGATTTCTTTATTAGTACTCCTTCATCTACTCAAACCCATAAAGGTCTTTGGTTCCCATCACTTTTAAAGTATTGCACATTGGTTTGAAAGAAGTAAACATTCAACCTCTCTGTGCTCCTCTGGCTCAGTCGAGTGCAGAGGGCGGAGGTTTTAAGGCACAGTTTAGTGTTTCCTTCACTAGTAGTAGAAATTTTAGGCACTTGTAGAGATCAAATCAATGCACTTCATGGAGCACCCTCACACCGGTTCAGCTGAGGGGAAGATTGGTCTTCAGGGTTTTGGTCATAATTCATAAATATGCACACGTTTACACATGCGCACTCAGTCGCATGTAAACACACACACTCATAATTGCACTATGATGGTAGGTATTCTCCAAGTCTACACTCCTAGATTTGGGTTCTCAGGACAGGTCACTCCACGGTCACAGACTTGGCCAGGTTCCTTGGGCAGTCCACCTGTGATAAAGACCATGTAATAGATGAAAAAACTGCATCTTACAAAAATAATATCATTTTGGAAACAGAAAATTTGTCGTATATTTCAATCCCTTACTTCATGGAACCACTGGCAGTTCCACTCCTCACTGTTATAACTTAAGAATAACTTACAGTTTGCATAGTTTTCTATAAAATCACTGAATAACAATCTTTAGGATGTTTGCTGTCTAGGTAAAGAATGTAAAATCTCTTCTATGTACAGTGCGTTGTACATAGTACACTGCTGAAACATATGCATTTCGGTTAATAAAACAGATGAAATGCTTTGGTTAATAAAACAGATGAGACAGTTAATTTCAGGGATTCGATTGCCTAATATTGCTCTCCACAATACACAGGTAACTAAGTTTAAGACAAAGGAACACCCTGTTGCTTAAATCCCAGAGAGATGTTTAGGAGAGGTTTAAGTCAATATACAATATTGTCTTAAGTTTGAGTAAGAGTATTAAGAAAACATCTCAGGAAGTAGGGTAAAAGATTAATATACAAAAAAATGGAACCGAAATAAAATGTTATATCTTTGAACACACAACCGAAACTGATCACTGTAAATATACATGAAACACATACAAACAGCACATATCTAAAAGAAAAATCTAAACATGACTGCCCAGAGCTGGACACAGTACTATGAGAGTTTGACTCACATCATATCCTCTGAGCACAGCCAGGTGGAAAGACATGAGCTGCAGGGGGATGACGCAGAGGATGCCCTGCAGGCAGTCCACTGTATGAGGGAGCTCGATGGTCTTATACGCCATCTTACTGATCTCTGGGTCGTCCTGGCAGCACAGGATGATGGGCCGCCCCTGAGAGACACACAGCAGGGAGAATTATTCATTAAAGAATATATACTCAGAAAATAGATGTCTTGGTGAATAGATGGTAGAAGTCAGTGATTTGGTCTGTGGGCAAATATATTTTCTCTACCACAATTTCAGGAATTGGCTGCTTTACTGCTTTTGACAATTTTTGAAAAAGTTGCATTTCAGCATTATTCTTTTTAACCAAGCAAAGCTACAAGTGGTATGTTGGTGAAATGATCATCAGGAAAGGAAATTAACAATTTTTTTTATTTATGAAAACTATTTTTTATTAGCTCTGAAGAGGCAGCCTTCGTTGCTCATCAGACACGAAAAACCTACACATTTCCTTGGGGTATTTTTGAATAATAAACCATCTTTTAAAATGCAAGCCTGCAGCCTTACATTAATGTCCATTTTTGTTTTTGTTTTTTTTTTTTCAATTTTTCCCTGCGGTTAAACAATTATCCATTCATTATCGTATCCCTTATGGAAACTTGAATATCAAAATGAGTCAGAAGGCACATTTTATAGCAGTTTAAAAAGAACCAACATTGAGCTAAGCTGCTTCACAGCCTCAATACATCAGCAGAAAACAGATAATTTCATCTGTGACCATTCACACATTCAGGTGTTTACATATGCCAATGAGTAAAAACAGATTTTGAGTTTTCACTTTAAAAAATGTATGTTACCTGTCTGGCTGTGACCTGCTGCAGGGCGTTGTGGCACTTAATGTAGCACACATCTTTCATGATCACCATGATGACAGGCATGTGGTAGTCAATCAGAGCCAGGGGGCCATGCTTCAGCTCTCCAGCCAGAATGCCCTCTGAGTGCATGTACGTGATCTCCTTAATTTTCTGCAGGATGCACAATAACATTCATAATCAAAACATATGATTCATTTAAAACAGCTCTTTTGTTGAGAGCAATGGTTCCCAAGACTGATCCTGGAGTTACCTTAATCTGTAAATGTTTGTGTTTTTCCTGTTCTGACACACCTGGTCACCTAATAGGTTACTTAACAAGCCGTTCCTGAGTTAAAGTAGATGTATTAAACTACTCACCAGTGCCCCCTCGAGGCATGTGGCATAGTGGTAGCCTCGGCCCATGACTAACAGAGACCTCTGCTGGTCAAACTCATCTACTATGCTCTTGATCTTCTCGTCCAGTGCAAGAACTTCTCTGATGAGCTCTGAATGGAGACAGAGAGGGGGAGTGTTTATCAGTGCAGCTCAGAGACACATGCTAAATCTCAAAAATCACAGAGTCTGTGTTGTGAACTCTACCACACACACACACACACACCTGGCAGTTTGCGGAGGCCGTTGATGATCTCCTGCCTCCTCTTCTGCAGTGAGAGTCTGTCCTCACTCATCATCAGACCAAACATGACCAGAGACACAAACTGACTGGTGTAGGCCTGCAGAGGAGGATCATACAAACTCATTAGAGAGAGAGAGACAGATGGAAGAAACAGAGAGAGGGACAACCTGTCATGTTGTACCGTACCTTGGTGCTGGCCACTCCAATCTCAGGCCCAGCGTTGATGTGGACTCCACAGTCTGTCTCTCTAGAGATGGAGCTGCCCACTGTGTTGGTGACCCCTACAGTGAGAGCTCCTCTCTCCTTACAGTAGCGCAGAGCCATCAGTGTGTCAGCTGTCTCACCTAGTCACAGACACACCTACATTAGCCTGTATCACTGCTGTCACTGTAGCTGCCACTGTCGTCTACTTTTGGCAACAGTTTGGCAAAAAAATCATATTTACACAAATTTCCTCTTATAGCAAATGTGGTTAATCAGCCAAGATGTTTGATGTTCTTCTTTAGTCTTGCACTAGAGCTATGAGGCTAATGTAGCTAACCAGTATTGGAAGTTAACACCCCACTGATTATCCATGTGCAAACTTCATGCCTAAATCATCACACACTTGCCTCACATCGAGTTGGTAGGTTTCAGACACTGTATAACATACTGTGATCTATCCAAATGGATAAAAAATGCATTT